TCAAAACATTTTTTTATTTAAGCACAATAAATGAAAAAGACAAAACTTTCAGGCAACTATAGATCTGAGACATACATCAGGGTAGGGGAAGGGAAGGCTACTAGGGACCATGGTGACTGTTCACAAGTGATGTGCTGGTGAGAGATTTACAGGGGCTACACCTGAGGGGAGAAACCAAATACTGTACAAAAATAAACAACTGATATAAGAAAATTAAAGCTTAATAAGAAAAAAAAAAGAAGTAAACATGAGCATGCAACTATAATCTATTCAGCTGGATACTAAAGGCATTGACAAAATGTAAAACAATTCACCTTTCTCAACAATTTTTTTCTTGAAAAAGGGTTAATTTTCATAAAATTTGGTATTTAAACACACAAAAAAATTCAACAAGACAAAAAACTTAATCATTCAGACATTCACAATTAAGAGTTTTATAAGGAAGTTCCTAATAGGCATTATTCCTGGAATGAAATTATTTTATACTGGGCCTCCCCGGTGGCGCAGGGATTGAGCGCTGCCCACAGCCTCTGCAGCGCCGGTTCGATCCCTGGCTGCTCCCCGGCCACCAGAGGAGGGTCCCACATGGCGCGCAGACCTCTCCTGCCGCCCGCTGCTCCCCTCAGCAGTGTACTTCGTCAGTCTGCCTGTTCTGCTCTCCGCTCTGTCTTTGATGAATTCTCCCATCCTCCCATACTTCTGACTGTACCCAGTGCTTGTACAAATAAATAATCTTAAAAAAAAAAAAGAAATTGTTTTATACTTACAGAAAACTTTTCACTGGGGATGACAGAAAGTGGAGAACAATTGGGTTAGAGAACAATATAATACCAGAATAAATTCCTTCTACTTTCCTCTCCTCTCCCACAGTCACTCTTCCATTCAGGGCCTGTGGCCATTGGATTTCCACCGGTGGTAAGGAATCCTGGAGTGTTCCATCTGTTCTGTGCCAAAATCAGAGAGACTGGATAGGGGAATCAGGGATGAAGGTTAGATGGTCAGTTCTTGATGATTTCATTATGACCTACCTTACGCCCTGTACCAGTTGCCTTTTACAAGTTTGTGTAATGATGAAGACGGTAAAGAGCACTCAGCATCCCCTGACCTATATGTGTGTCTGTTTAAGGATTGCCCTGGAGTTGAGGAATTGCCCTACAAAGGGAGAGATTGTGAGCTTCTGTGCCCCTGGGCAGGCCTGGCCTCTTTAAAGACAAAGGACACATTTCTGATGGTAATTGATTATTCTTTCAGGGAGATGCACCTGGAAATTCCTCTGCCCCTCCTCCAAGAGATTAAGAGTCTGGCTTCCCAGAGAATCCTTGGGAGCTGACACTGGCAGAAGCCACACTGAAGGCAGGAGAGAAGGCTGCAATCACAACTCTCAGGTCTCTGTTTCTCACTTTTAAAAAGTGACTCTCAGCCTCCCCTGGTGGCACAGGCAGTTGAGCGCAGCACTGTGAAGCTGTCTGCAGCCTCTGCAGCACAAGTGCGAGTCCGGCTGGTGACAGAGATACCCACATGGTGTGGCAGACCTCTCCTGTCTCGCCCGCTGCTCCCCTCAGCAGTGTATTTCAGTCAGTCTGCCTGTTCTGCTCTCTGCTTTGTCTCTGGAGAATCCTCTCACCCTCCTGCACATCTGGCCTGTACCCCGGTTCTTGTATGCATAAATAAATACATCTTAAAAAATTTTTTTTTAAATAATAAAAATTAAAAAGTGACTTTCCTGGGACTCCTTTTCCTGCTCATGGAGTTGCAAGGAACATATTAAGCAGCTCTCTTAAGAAGAGAGGCTTTACAAAGCAAATGAAAACAAGACATTGAGACAGGGCAAGCTAGGGTTATTAGGCAGTTTTAGGGACAGTGCAGGAGGGGACCTCTGAAGAATTTAGGGAGGCTTCAGAGATAAGGACAACCAAAGAAATATAACCAATTCCATTAGGAAAAACAAACATGCCAGGACCAAGGACAACATTGTTAATGCTGGTCCTGGTTTCCTTCAGGTGGTAAAGGGAGGCGGAGATTGGAGAAATGGAGAGTGGTTTAATTTATGGTCACATTAGAAGGGCAGCTGTTTAACTTCAATGCAGGGATGCCCATCCAGAGGACTGGGCCATAAATTTAAAGATGCAACAAATGGGGAAAGAGAAAGCTGTTAGATAAGGAATGTGAAAATCCCGCACTCAGTAGCAAATTAAGTAAGACAGCCGAGAACTAACCAATCACAAAGAGACTGGTGAAGTTTTAGAATAATGAGGGAAAAAAAGGTATATATTCCCTAAGACACGACTCTACTTTGGCTTCCTTGCCCCTCCCAGGCCTGGTTCCCTGGCCTGGGAGTCCCACTTTATTTCTGCCCTTTTTCTCCTCAATAAACTTTTTCTTCTAAACAAACCTGCCTCTTCTCCCTTGCTTGCCTGAGCGTCTGCGAAGTTCCTGCTGCGGCTTCGTGAGACACCAACCCTGGGGGGTCTAGTGGCTGGGACTCAGCGCTGCCCTGCAGCCTGAGATCCGTTCCTGGCTGGGAGACTAGACCTGACAATTCCGGTATCAACATGATAAAAATAACTCACAGGCTCTGTGAAAATATGGTGGTTATCACAGGGGAAGGGGAAGGGAATGGGAGGTAGAACAGAGGGGGTCAATTTGATAATGTCATGGCACTGAGAATTTGGTGGTGGAGCCAGGTGAGAGTCTGTAGTACTCCCAAAATTTATAGAGTATCACAAATTAATGGTGAATCAAAATTGTATCAAGAAAAGAATCTTCTGTTAGACCCTGTTGGAAAACCTAAGATACATATTACATTTCCTAGAAAAGAAGAACAAGGGATTTAACAAGTAGCCCAGGGGGCTGGTGGTGAAGGTCCAGGGCATACAGAGCAGCTTCAGGAGTATTCCTGACCACCTGGGAGCTCCACTCCCCTCTCTGTGGATATTTTAGTCCCCATCTCTCTCCTTCCACTTTCCTCAGCTTCTGCCTTACATCTTTTCTGCTCCCAAATAACTCCTGCTTGCTCATGGCCCTAATTCATGTTCATCACATCATTTCACTTTGAACTCCACTACCAACCAATTAGCTAGTGCCTCTTTGTTCACATTCTCAAGAAAAACATTGATTGACCTGGTGTTTGAGGATTGAACTGTGCCCTCCCCAAAGATATTTAAATTCTAATCCTGTTTCCCTTTGACTGTGACTTTATTTGAAGTAGGAGATTTGTGGTTGTAGTCAAATAAAGATGAGATCATACTTTTAATAGAGAGGGCTGGAAACTCAGTGTGACAGGTGTTTAAAAAAAAAAAAGTTTCTGGGCCTCCCTCGAAGGGGTTAAAATCTCAGTGCTATCAAGCTATTGCCAGCCACTGTGTCATGAGTTTGATCCCCGGCCAGGAAGCTAACCCACATGGTGCAGCAGACCTCTCCTGTCTCGCCTGCTGCTCCCCTCAGCAGTGTATTTCAGTAGATCTTCCAGTTCCGCTCCCCGCTCTGTCTCTGGTGAATCCTCTCACCCCCCACACCTCTGGCCTATACCCTAATTCTTGTCTGTATACATAAATAAAAATAAATCTTAAAACAAAAAAAGTTCAAACATGGACACAGAAAATAAGGCCACACAGAGGGAATGCCCTGTGACAACAGGGGTAGACACTGCAGTGATGCATCCAAGCGGAAGATCAAGGTTGTTGGCAAGCACCAAAAACTTCAAGAGGCAAGGAAGGAATTATCCCTAGAGCCTTTGCAGCTCCATCTCAGAACTCCAGCCTAAGAACTGTGAGAGAATAAATTTCGGTTGATTTAAACCTTCCAGTTTGTGGAAAATTGTTACAGCAGCTCTAGAAAGCTAGTACCACATCAATTTCTCTCTTTTTTTTTTTTTTAAGATTTTTTATTTATACAAGAACCGGGGTACAGGCCAGATATGCGGGAGGGTGAGAGGACTCACCAGAGATAGAGCGGGGAACAGAACAGGCAGCCTGACTGAAGTACACTGCTGAGGGGAGCAGCGGGCCAGACAGGAGAGGTCTTCTGTGCCATGTGGGACCCTCGCTGGCAGGTGGGGATCAAACCGGTGCTGCAGAGGAACCGAACAGCCTCACAGCGCGGCGCTGCACCGCCTGCGCCACCAGGGGAGGCCCACATCAACTTCTCTTTGATGAGCCACCTCAGATGGGATACTCACTCTGAGGACAGTCAGTCATGGGCAAGACAGGGCAATGTCATCCAAATCATGGCCACTGAGGCAGCAAGACTGAGTACCAAGCAATTTCCTGTAGAAAGAGGAATGAGTTTTGGGTGGGTGGTTGCTGGTGTGGCCCCTCCATAACCAACTAGGTAGCTGGGGCATACCTGAAATGTACGTAATGTGATAATGAAAGCGGGTGCTGCAATGTGAACTGCAGGGCAAGACTGGCATTTTCCCACTGCCGCCTAAACATGGGAACCTTTGGAAACCTGTGGCAGTTTTGCAGCCCTAGGCCAAAAGCTGCTGCCTGTGGGCTGCCCCTCCCTTGGGCACCTGCTGGGTTAAACCGGCCCAATCAGGCGAGTATCAACTAGGGTGGGGGCCCTGAAGGGGGCCCTATGAGTCGGCTCAGGCGCCATCTCCAGGGTCCCGGATTCCCAGACTCCGCCCACTGCATTTCTGGCCTCCCAGAAAAGAAGAAAATAAAGAAGCAGCAGCCGGAGTCGACCTCTGAAGAGAAGTGTAAGAGCTTCACAGCAACCTGGCCGCTGCATCTGCCCCAGTCCTCAAGGCCCCGGCTGGGGGCTCAAAGAGCTGTTGTTGGTGCGCGCCAAGCGCTCACATGGAGCTGTATCCAGTCCCTCGTCTCTACTGGTGCTGCCGCCTCCTTTGCTGTCTGGTCCAGTGTCTGGTGCTGCCCTTTCTGACCTTCACGCTGCTGCTGGGGCTGCTGCGGTGTCATCTGAGCGGCCGCTCCCATGAGCCCCTGCGGCTGCCCCCGTGAGTTGTGGCCGGGCTGTCGCTTGCCCGGGCGCCTCGCGCTCCAGGCCCTCATCGCTGGGGCGGCGCCATCTTGAATGAGCAATGTTTTACTTGGAAATTTTGGACACTGTGGACGCCATCCAGGGTGAGATAGTCAGCCTCCCGTGGCCTTAATAACTCATTGTTTTCCCTGTTTTGTTAAATTAACCCCATTATTGTTGTTTCCTGAGCCTGAGTGGTCTTGCAGTTGTGCACATGGGTGAAAACCTGCGGACAGCCCTCTCTTGGGCCCCGCCCTTGGGTGACTGGAGCACGTCTCTAGCCCTGTTTCAATAATGCAATGCTATTTCAATTAAAATTATAATAATAGGGCCTCCCTAGTAGCACAGGGGTTAAAGACACAGTGCTATCAAGCTATAGCCAGCCACTGCTACAGGACTGCTGATCCCTGGCCAGGGAGCTGACCCACATGGCGCAGCAGACCTCTCCTGTCTCAGCGGTGTACTTCAGCACATCTCCCTGTTCTGCTCCCCAACTCTGTCTCTGGTGGATCCTCTCACCCCCCTCCCCTCACCTCTAGCCTATATTCCAGTTTTTGTATGCATAAATAAATCTTTAGGAAAAAATTTTATAATAATAAAAGCATTCATTAATTAACTCTCCTTTCCAAAGACCTATCCTACTCAGGATTGTATGTCAGCTCTGGCTGTAATGCAGCCCAAGGAATATTTCTGGCTTCTTTGGTGTGTTTGCCAAAGTAGTGTTTTTAATATACGTTGTTTTTCCATTTGCAGCTCTAGAGGGAGAATTTCTTCAAATGAAAGTTACTGTGGTTACTGATATGAGCTGATCTTCTTCACAGGTAAGTGCCCCCACACCAGCCAGCACCAAGGCAACTGGCTCTAGGTCAGCCTTCCAGGAATATTTACCTGGAACAGCTACAGGCAGTTACCATCTTAAGGACTAATGATATTAACCAGAAAACTCAATAGAGGAAATAGACTAGACAAGTGAGAAAAAGGAAAAAAACAAAGGATTATTCATGGCCTAAGGGTTTGAAAGCTTGATGGACTCAGGGCCTAAGAAAGAGGAAGAAGTACCTTAAAAGCAAACCATAAATGATGAGTGTGTGCAGAATTTTTTCTTTCCTGCCCCAGTGGTGTGTACCTTAGATACAATGTCTTAGCATAGAGCAGATAGTATAAAACTCTATTCCTTAAAAAAAAAAAAAAAAGTTTTTGTCTGTGGAATTAACTTTTTTCTTATAATCAGTAAAGAATTTTGATATATTGGAACTCTATATTTATGATGATTGCCCTGAATATTTGTTTAAAAAACAAATTCTCAGTTTAGGAACAAAATCAGACATTAAGTAAATGATAAATGGCTAGGCTTCAGTTTTGCTACTTATCTAGATATAACCTGCTTTCTTGTTTGTTAAAAATAACTTGAATCTAAAAGTTGTATCTGGGGCCTCCCTGGTGGCACAGCTGTTTAAGTCTCAGCGCTATCAAGTTATCGCCAGCCACTGTGCCATGAGTTCAATTCCCCACTAGGGAGCTGCCCACATGGTGCAGCAGACTTCTCCTGTCTCACCTGCTGCTCCGCTCAGCAGTGTATTTCAGTTAGTCTGCCTGTTCTGCTCCCCACTCTGTCTCTGGTGTATCCTTTCACCCTCCCAACCTCAGACCTACACCCCAACTCTTATATGTATAAATACATAAATCTTTTAAAAAAATACAAGTTATATCTACTTACAGTAAGAATCAGAATAGAACTTGTTTACCCATTTCTCTTTCTCCTTCCCTTCTGGTAATCTTTATTTTCTTCTTGCATTCTTAGAGTTTAAGAGTTTTGTTTTGTTTGCTCATTTGTCTTATTTCTCTATCTTCCACATATGAATAAAATCATATAGTGATTTGTTTGTTCTTCACTGTCTAACTTATTTCACTTAGTATAATACTCTCTAGGTTCATTCATGCTGTTGCAAACAGCAGGACTTCATCTTTTCTTTAAATAATTGGGTAATATTCCATTGTTATCACAGTTATCGAAAGGATAATTCACAACTTCATTCATTTGCATTAATTTCTTGCAATATGGGTTCTACTTCTGTTATTATTTTCCTTGTTTTCTTTCCCTCTTTGTGTTCTGCCTGTGTGTGTTACTTGATTTGTTCATCAATAGTCAGCATTTACCCCTCTTCTGAGCTTCTGATATGCATTTCCACCTTATTCAAATTAGACAAAACCAAATCTACCATTAAGTCCCACACCTTAATAATTGCTTTCTCTTGCTGCAGTGGAGATAACTGTGAGAAAAGTTTCCAATGAATTCTGAGATACATCTCAAGAAAGAAAGACTCATTTTAAAAAAATCTTGTTTTTTAAAAGATTTATTTATTTATGCATACAAGAGCTGGGGTACAGGCCAGAGATGCAGGGGTTGAGAGGATTCACCAAAGACAGAGTGGGGAACAGACCAGGCAGACTGACTGAAATACACTGCTGAGGGGAGTGGCGGGAGAGACAGGAGAGGTCTGCTGTGCCATGTGGGTTCTCTCTGGCCAGCCAGAGATTGAACTCCTGCTGCAGAGGCTGCGGATAGTGCAGTGCTTAACCCTTTTCGCCACCAGGGAGGCCCTGAAAAAAAATCTTATACCTATCCCTCTATAGTTCAGAACTTAAAAAGAGAGTTGGAAGTTGAGCAAATCCCTAGGAAAGTGGGGGAGGGGAGGGAAGACCAAGAAATGAAAATAGGAGAGAAAAGATGGGGAAGTGTGAGATTAATCCAAGAGTTCGAAAGATCTAAAAGAAGAAAACAGCAGAGGAAACAGGGAGTGACACTTCAACGAGGAGGTACAGTGCCTTCTAGGAGGTGACCCTGGGCTTGGGGCCATGACTGGTCTCTCTCCAATGTCGGGCTTCATGCGCTGCTGGTGGATTACCCAGACCAGTTTGGTCCTTTAGCATATATTAGTTTCTTTTTAGCAATTATCCTTAGAATCAGTTAGAGGCAACACAGAGGCATTAAGCAACCATTGAATCAGAAACCTCACCATTGGATGGGAAAAGAAGTCAAATCTCAGACTAAAATCTGCTAGTAAAGATGTCTTTGACCAAGCAGACACATAAAGTCCTGCCATAACTTGCTTAAATTTGGGAGCAGCCTGTCTCCTCTGCCTCGAAGAGCAGTGTTCATGAACTTGCCTTGAGCAATGTGACATTGTGACATTGCAGCAAAAGCGTTTGTAAAGAACTCAGATAGGGCAGGGGTAGGGGAGCAGCTGGGTGGAATCTTGCATTATGGGCCGATGGATTCAATACTTCAAATTATGCCCCACTTAAGGTACCTTAAAATTCTTGAAGTTTAGTAAATTTATACAGTTATGCAACTATATAAACTATATACTGTACAAAATATTGTATAAAACTAATGAGTTTTGGAATACTCCCATCTACCTAAAATTTTCCCTCATGCTCATCTGTGGTCAATCTCATTCCTATCCATTTACTATCACTATCACTTTGCCTTTTCTAGAAATTGCAGGTAAATAGAATCATTCACAATATGAGTTGTGCCTGGCTTCTTTTACTTGGCGTAATGTATTTGAGGTTGATTCACATTGCTGCCAGCATGAGTAGTTCATTCCTTTGTATTTCTCAGTGGCATTCCACCCATGGAGACACCACAATTTGTTATTTATTCACCAGATTCTGGAACATTTGATTGCTCCCAGTTTGGGGCTATTGTGAGTAATGCTGATATCAACATTAATGTGTAAGTCTTTGTTTAGGCATATGTTTTCATTTTCCTTTGGTCAGTATCTAGGAATAGAATTGCAAGGTCATATGGTAAGTTTATATTTAACTTTTTAAGAAATTTCTAGTGGATATGAAGTGGTATCTCATGATTTTAATTGTATTAACTAATGACTGCTAATATTTAGCATATTTTCATGTGATTATTAGCCATATATGCTTTTTCTTTGGTGAAATGTCTTCTCTAATATTTTGTTAATTTGAAAAATTAATGGCCTTCTACTTATTGAACTATAAAATTCTTTATACTGAAAGCAAGTCTTTTACCAGATATATGATTTTAAATACTTTTCCCAGCCTATGCTATTATCTCATTTTGGGATCTTTCAAAAAGCAAGCATTTTGAATTTTAATGGAATCTGATAGAACCACTTTTTTTCTTATGGATCATGTTTTTATTATCTAAGATCTTTGCCTATCCCAATATTGTAAGGATTTCCCTCTGGTATCATCAAGAAGTTTACTTAACTTAACTCTTATGTTTATTGATAGTTCTAGGATGCACTGTGAGTTAGTTCTTGTGATTAGTGTGTGCTAAGTAAGGGTCTAGAGTTTGACTGTCTTTTTGTATATTCTATTTCTATACCCAATTGTCCAAAACAGAGTTAAAAATATCCTTTCAACATTGAATTGCCTTGGCACCTTGGTCAGTTATCAATTTGCTATAAATGTGTAAGATTTCTGAACTCTCATTATGGTCCATTCATCTATACCTGTCTTTGTGCCAGTACCACCTTGTCTTTGTTATAGGGCAGGGAGAAGGGTACCCCAGAACCCTCAAACCTGCCTGCTCTAAATAGGTTCTGCCATCTGCTGCATCAACACAAAACATATGACCTTTACTGGAAAGGAACTTTAATATAATTAGTGTGCAAAACAGAAAAGACAAAGAATATAGTTTCTAAATCAAATACCCAAAGTTACCCATCCCCTTGGGTGTAAATGTCCAGCCAAACAGGCTTGGCCCAAAGCAGGGCCACAAAGGCCCAAAGCCTGCCACAAGTCTAAGGCACCTTCTGGCGGGGACGTATAGTAAAGGTTCAGAAACAGTCAGACAAGTCTGGGAGGAAAAGAGCAAAATGAAAATCAAGATGAAAGCTGCCATTGTTGACTTCCCCTCAGGTCTCTCACCCACATCTGTTTCAAACAGTCCAGGACCAAAAGGCAAGCACAGTTTCTTCACATGTCTCTCTATTACATGTGCTTCTTCCAGGTCTCCTTTTTGCTCTCCATCCTGCTTCCTTCCTTTCCCAGTCTCCTCTCCAGCTTCTTTTTCTGCCCCCTCAGCTCCACCCTCCTTTTGTGTGGAGCAGGGAACTGAAACCTCCCCTTTTCCTGGGCACCACTCTCTTGCCATCTTGATTAATGTAGCTTTAAGTAAGTTTTTCTTTTTCTTTTTCTTCTGCTAATTAATGATCCAGACAAGGACAATGAGGAAAAGGTAGTGTTACATATTGTGCCAAAGAATGAGGGGGACAGGCCAGTCCATTTGATGCTCTGTATCTGAAGTTGGGTCTCTAGGACTCATAGAAAAGAGTAGAAGGTAGCTATGTGGGCTCACTTTGTTTTTGGACCTTTTCCAGACCCTTTCTGTTCATCAGCTGTCACTGATGAACAGTGACAGTGCACGTGGAAACCAAGATCACAACTAGGACAGCCCCTTCGGATTTCCAGAATAAGTACTATTCAGTTAGAGCTGAGCTACAGCATTTGCACTCACTACTCTCAGATGTACCGCATGTGATTTTCCCCACATACCTTGTGAAGCCACACTTGGGGTGGTTGTAGCCCAGACATTAGAACATGAAGCATATTCTACTGCCACCACAAATTTCCACCAGCCAGCACTGTGAATTGGAGGTGCTCACTGGCAGCTTCTGCTCCCACATGAGAGCGGCTTGGCAGAGCTGTATGGTGAAAGAGCAGAACACACAGCAGAGGTGGTGGCCCTGGGGAGGCCATGCTTGACCATTCCTGCTGGAAGAGAGTGCTCAATGTGGCACCTCAGCTTCTGCTCCCAGGGCAACCATCTGGTCCCTGC